TCATCAAAATTAACCAAAAATTTGTTGTACCCAAACATGGGTACATTCTTCAAAATCACAAAAAAAAAAAAAAAAAAAAAAAAAGAAGATGTTAGGCTTAATAACATCGGTAAATTTCTTCGATTAAACTTGACATGGATACATTCTCAAATCAAAGAAAAAAGAATGTACCCATATAAGTTTAAAAATGGATTAGAAAAAAATTGAATAGATTATATATATACATACATATAACAAATTGGTATATTTAAGAATGAGTACATTTTAAGATTAAAAATTTGAAAAAATTACATGAATGGGTACATATAAGATTAAAAAATTGAAAACATTTCTTAAAAAAGCTAATGGATATATACAAACTTATTTTTATTTATTATTTATTTTTGGAAATGTTTTGAGTTGAAAATTAGTTAGGAGTTTAATAAAGGTGTGAGTATTAAAATTCTAAATCAATTATTAATTTTTATTTTAAAAAATTATATAACTGACATGTAAATTCATTATTACATTAGTGCTTGGGACTTGGATCAAAATCTGAAAACTAATAAGATTTCAACAATTAACATTACTAACTAGGGACCGGATACTAATTTTTTCATTTGAAAATGAATAAGGTTTTAATCAATGAAGTAGAAAAAATAAGGATGGAAACCTAATTATTTTCTAATTATTTTGAAACCATGCGGATTGATCAAGCCGCATTTGGTCATAGCCAGACTACCAATGAATTATAATATCAACTAGCTATTAATTTAATGATATTTCTCTTCCACGATAAGATGAGATAAATTTTTTTTCAACTTCAAATCTCATATCATCCAAAGATTAAAGAAACAAAAAGTCAGTATAGTTTATTGTCATGTTTATTAATGATGAAAACTATAATTTGTTTAGTATACCAGCCATTTGTATGTATGGATCGAGTTAATCATGCTGATGAATCAATCTAGTTGATGCTGTATTTACTTGCCTATCCGATCCACTAGTTGAATATATAGCCGTGATCGTGAAATTCATTTGTAATGGATATACGTTATTCGAAAGAAGTGGAATATGAGCATTTCTCCATGGAAACACAAGTCATGTGCACTACTACTTATAAGAATTTATATAGATAACTAAAAAATAAATCATCATGCATGAAGTCATTTGGTTAGGATACATATCATCATCATGAACTAAATAAGGGTGTAGAAATCACGTGTGAGAAAATTCCAAAAAGATATCTTCCCTAATTCTTGTCCTTGTTGTCTACATATGTTTTCATATAATGATTCGCTGCTGCCCTAGCTATTGACATGGTATTGAATTTAAGTTGAACCACACAATTCTTTTAAATTCTTCCCTTTTTAAATTCTAAATGAGGTTAGAGATTCTCTTCTCACAACTAGAAAACAAGACGAATAATTTTCATGAATCGCGTGCATAATACAACCAAATTAAGCTAAGAGCTATTAGCTATATACAAGAGTAATTAAGACTGAACGAATTGATTAAAGATAAAAAATGATTGAATTTAGTTAATTACCAGAACCATCTGATTAGTCATGGCCCAGTAGATGACGAACCCTAAGGTATGTGCAGCAAAGAGGATCATCGAGAGATGGCCGAGCCAAATATGATACTTAATACTTGACTCGGATGTGAGCCCGAAGAGAGGTAAAATCGAAGATCCTCGAGTTACAGGGAAGAAGAGAAGTGCCCAGCAAATGTTCCCAATGTAACCTAATCTCAATGACACACTTCGAAACTTCGCTTCCCACCTGTCATATAATCACTCTCAATTAACATGAATTTAATTGACTAAAATCAAAAGAAAAAAAATCAAGTGATCATATCATTCATTTAAAAAGCATTTAAGAAAGGATACATACATATATGTATAAGTATATGTATTTGTACATGCTTACACTTTCTCGCCAGGCATATGTATATGGAGGTGGCCGAAGCTGACATATAAGTAATTGGCAAGAGACCAGACCAAGAGTGAAACAAACATGAGTCCAAAAGCGAGCTCTATTGCAGTGACAATTCCCAGAGGAGCCTTCACAACCACTGGACGTCTCCAAAATGCTAATCGATTTGTCTTGATACCGGTGGTAGTAGTACTGCACCAGTCAACGATGATCATATATATTAACAGAATTATCATGTGTTAATTCGTATAGAAGTTGTATTATAGTGTAAAAACCTTGTGGACGATGGTGACCTAATTGATTTCTTTTGGAGATGGAGATAAACACAGCTTAAAGCTGCTATTAACATCACTGGGAATGAGAAGAGCAGAAGATTAACCCCTGCAATTAATTAGTATGACACAACACAAGGTTATATTTTAAGCATAATATCAACCTTAATTAAATTGATTAAGCAAGCAACTGTAATTAAGGAAGAAACAAAACCTTGCTCTCCAAAATATGTAGAATTGAGCTTGCTTTGTAAGTTGGGCATCCAGCCATTTTTGTAGGTTTTTGTAGGCATCATGATCCAAATCACAAGCCATCCAAGAAACACCACAAGGAAAATCAATCTTAAAATTGACACTGTCTGGTTGCTCATCCTTCTGTTTGAGAGGAGTGTCAATGAGAAGCTAGCTATTCAGAAATATACAGTCTTCTGCTGTGCAAGTACAACAGTGCAACTATTGGATTTGCAATTTATAGGCGAGGGTTGATCGTACATTAGGGTTGAGGAGAGAGGCATTTGTCAAGCCCATTTACAACTCCTTGATAAACGTGTTACAGGACAATATCAGGTGATGTTATTCACACTCCAAAAGCGTCATCATACGCTACTTTTAATTTTGTCAATCCAATTATTGCGAGAGTGGACTTTGAGTTACTAATAAATCAATTCAAGTGAAATGTAAGTATTTTAGGAATGCACATTGGGATTAATATGAGAAGAATTATCAGATAAATTCAAGTGATGAAGAGTGCATAATGATGTAATTAAAATTTTAACACGAGAGTACTTATTAGTTAAATTCGAGTGTATTATGAAGAACTTGTAATATTTTTTTTTAAATGTGAATAACAGTTCTCACTCATAATTCAATAATTTAATAAATTTTCCATATAAAAAGCTTTCGGACTCTAATTTCCAACCTTTCCAACCTCGAAAAGGTATGATGTGAACATAATTACTTAATATTTTGTTGGAGAATGAATCATGATGGAAGGAAGGACACTGCATAAGTTTATAAATAAATTGAGCTACTCTTTGTATTGTCAATTGGTTTTATAGTCGGACCTCAACTTCTTTCATGGTATAAGAGTACATTATCCCCTGATGAAACCCAACAGCTACACGTGTTCTATGTCACCTCATTTATGTTCCTCTTCACTTATAAGTTAGAAGTTTAGGTTCGAATCTCAGGAATGTTGAGTTCGCAACTAATTTATTTATTCACTTCCTTAGTGTATAAATATATCGTAGTACAATAAAAATGTTTGACAAATAAAAACATAATTATTTAAACCAAGGGAGATTCAAAACCTTGATACATACTATTTTGTTTTTCTCTTTTTGGTTTCGGTTTTTTTTTTTATTTTTTTTTAAATCTGAAATTAGTTATTAAATAAGATTTCAGTTTTCAGTTTTATAAAAAATGAAACTGAAAAATGAAATATTATCCACCGACCATAAATTAATTTGAATATTAAAATTTCAATTACATCTTGGTTTCTGTATGACCATATGGAATATGCCACATGCAACACTACTAGATTAGAGAGAAGAGTAGACTTTTTTTGTGGGGTAATGAAATTACAGTTGACAATGGCTGAATTCGAGCCGTGTAGTACAGGTCGTACACCATAATAGTTGACATAAACACAAGATCAGTACGTTAATCATGTTTTTTCGATATGATAAACAGACACACGTATTACAACGTTACTAGATTGATAATACCACGTAAAAATGTGATTGTCATATTGAATAATTATTATTTGAATAATGTTAAAAATTAAAATTTTAAATCAAATTTATAAATTAAATGATATGTCATCAATAGAAAACAAACACGTTAATGGATACTTATTTTATAATTCAATCATCAATTATCACATCATTTAATATTTTGATTTATACAAGTAATTTAAAAATCCAATTTCCATAGCATTATTCAATTCATTTTATTCCATGTTTAATTAATTGTCGGAATGCTTTATCCATATTTTGATGGTCAACATTCATTATTAATTAATTAATTAATTATTCCAAAGCTCAAAGATTTTCCTGTTTGGATGAAAATAAAAGGGAAGTGTTATTAATACTTCAAAAATCTCATTCTACATTCTTCACAAGTGTATTTTTCTTTCCAAATATAGAAAGTTTGGAGTGTAGAATGAGATTTTTGAAGTGCCAATAACAATTCCCAAATAAAAAATAAATGACCAAATATATTATGCAATGTCAAATAAGCGATCCCAAACTAACAAGACTCCCTATTTTGCAAGAGTAAAAAAAAAAAAAAAAAAAAAACCTCTATAGTACGCAGTTTTATTTTTTGCTTTGCAAAGAGGTTATTTCTAGAATTCAAATCTGTAACCTTTTTATTGCAACAAGTCTCGTCCTAATACCAAGATGAATAGTAATAAGACGTTAACTAAATTTTCTACAAGTGTCTGAGGACTATCATTCCAAAACCAATGCCAAGAAGTGTTGCAATGGCAACTCCAAAATTGCCCGCAAGGATTGCAGGAACAGCCAAAGAATCCCATCCTATGGACCTCGCCAATCCGCTGGTGTCGTTGGCCCTCCGACATTGGACGATTATTTGAACTAACCGAAGTAGCCTCCCTCCCAATCCAAGTACCACGGCAAGATGGACAGTTACTTGAACTAGAGCAAGGAAAAAGATACCAGGCCCGGTGTTGATGACATTCCATATGCTCCCGCTACCGCCCAACACTGCGAAGAATACCGGTTGCGAAGAACGCCCCATGTAAAAGCATATCGTTTCAAAACACATACTAGAAAGGTAGACCAACATAGAAATGATTCAGATAGGTAGTTTGATTGAAATATACCCTGCTGAATCAGAAAAATAACTCCAAAAGCTGCGATAGTTTTGTAAATCCCAAACAGAATCAACTGTACTGTCACTATTATGTTCAACTGGGCCACGTTTAGGAAGTTTACAACTTGGAATTGAGCAGATTTTAGCGTCCTAGTTTGTTATCTTTTGTCGATGGAAGCAACATTCTTATTGCAAAGACGGTCGGCTTCTTGCTTCTGCTTCTTGGCGCTGTAGCCCTCCTCCTCCAGAGCCTTCAATTTGTTCTTGATTGCTGTTATTTTGGAGCTCCGGCTCATTTTTCCTGAACTAGTACCAGAAGCGCTTGTTTTGGTGGCCTCGCCCACTCCTTTGGAAGAATTCTCTGCTGGTTCTACCAAGTACTTGTCACTGGAAACGCGGACAACCAGCGGGCGTCCACATGCTAGTCTCCCATGCATCTTCTCCTTGGCCAATCTTGCTTCCTGCATGCTCACTTTAACTGTGGAAATCAGGAATTGCTTGAAAACACAACTGATAGAAAAACAAGCGACTGAATTACATCTCTGCTGCTATACTGGATGAAAGCAAATCCCCGTGGCTCTCCGCGCTTTCGGCCACGGGTGTGCCACATAAAGTCTTCGGTTATAATCTTCCCAAACGGAGAAAACATCTTAATTAGAGCAGCCCTGGAAAATGCAAGAGCATGATCAATATTAAGTATCACGGCCTCGCAGGTACTATACTAGAGCAACAAAGATTCAAGGTTTACTTACTCCGTTATTCTCAGATCAAGGTTAGCAATGTAGATTCTACTTTCACTCTTTTCATCAGAAGAACCATTAGGATCCTGCATCAGTCATCACCACTCAATTCAGTATTCCATAACGCTGTCTAACATCAAATATGAACTAGGCGACAAATTTACTCCACATGTTGATCAGATTATATAGCATGTTTATACCAATGGTTTTCAATAATGGGACAATAAGTAATCACTTTATTCTCTTTTTACTTCGGAAAGCAATCACTTTCAAGGAGACTCCGTGCAAAAGTTTTGTTCTGGCCATACAAAAGTGCCAGAGCAAAAACCTTGGTTACGCGGATACAGAAATCCTATCACCTTCGAGTGTGACTATCAGGTCTAATGGCCCATAATTCAGGTCTAAAGTTCACACAGAAAACAACAAAATCAAGGGCCATTTTCGGAGTCCAATCACCATAAGTAGTCCCAAACAGGGGCTTCAAAGATACATATCTCCCCCAACCCACAAAAACATACACAATCACCAAGACATATCAAATAGCGGGCACCATGAGAAATAAAAAGATGGACAAATCCTTTGCATTTAAGTAGCGTTGCATTTGATCAAGCTTGTAAGAGCTTAAAGAAACAGTCTTTTTCAATTCATCAAATTACCCCCGTCTGTTTCCCTCCCTCCATCCCTCTCAAAGGTTCAATTTCCAGCTCTAACAACTCCCGAGACTAAAGAACCCGACAATGCAATAACCAAAAGGCAGAAACAATATACATGGACACGGACACGGACAGGGGATACAACATGACATGACACGGGATACATCAAATTAACAAGAAGAATCGCTGTACGACCACAAGGGAATACGACACGACATGGGGATACGAGGGATACCACCGTGTCCATGCATCGTAAATTTACCATATAATCATAAGTTACATATCTCAACAGAAAAATGCTTTCTAAACATATAGGCTGAAAGAGTTCAAGAAAAATAAAAGGCTTGGAAAATAAACTTACCATTACAGTGAAAGGGGAATATGATGACAGTTCAATTTCAAGTCCCAGCACACAAGAAGCAGATAAAAATCTTCTGGAATTTACCAGTCACACTTGCACCTGAAAGTCAATAAATTTGAGCCCCCTTAGTTGACCTGATACGAAACCGTAATTACAACAATTTGAAATTACCAGGTAAGGAAAGCTAAATCATACATTGATCTGAGACGAAACCCTAAGTACAGCATCGGAAATTTAAAAGATTGATACTTTTTGAGAGAGTTTGGTACCTGCGGGAATTATCAAAAGCAATCCGGCCGGCCGTCGCAGAGAGGGAGAGTCGAAGATTAGCGTATGGCGATATAGGATGCGGAGCAGGGTAGCTGGGTTGATGCTCCGGCTACGAATGGAAGTAGAACAGAATAATGGCAGAATAAGATATTGTGATTGATAAGCAGAGTCGAAATTTTTTTTGAAAGCCACATGACCTTATACACTTTTTTTTTTTTTTTTTTTTTATCAATTTGTCATATGAACTATAATTTAACCGATTTACCATGTTAATTTTTCTAAATCATTATTTTGTCATCTCATCCTAAATTTTTTTTGAAAGCCACATGACCTTATACACTTTTTTTTTTTTTTTTTTTTTTTTTTTTTTTTCAATTTGTCATATGAACTATAATTTAACCGATTTATCATCTCATCCTAAATTTTTTTTGAAAGCCACATGACCTTATACACTTTTTTTTTTTTTTTTTTTTCAATTTGTCATATGAACTATAATTTAACCGATTTACCATGTTAATTTTTCTAAATCATTATTTTGTCATCTCATCCTAACTTCATAAAATTTTTCTTCCAAAATAAGTCATGTTATAAATTTCAAAGTTATTTCGGACATTTCAACTCTGACATGATTGACCACATTGAATTCCTAAGCTTACAGTTAGTTAAACTTCATGTAAGTGAGCCTAATGTTATAAAAAGTTTTTGAAACGAATGCAACGTATTTTTTCTACTAGCCAAAATCTTTTGGTTTGTACCAAAGAGAAGTAGATAACTTATAAAAAGGAGGTCAAAAGTCCCCAACCAATCTATTCTCCTACCCTAATGTAAATATATCTTGTATATAATATAAAATATAAAATAAAATAAAATAAACCTTGTGAAAAGGTGCTCAAAAAGTCTGAAATAACCCTAAACATAATCACATAACTTATTTTGAATTTAAAACTTAACACAGTTATGATGAGATAATCAATGATGATTTCAAAAGAATTAATATGACAAATCAGTTAAGATTTTGTTTTATATGACAAATTGAAAATTATGAATAAGTATCCTTTAAAGATATCGGGTGATTTCTCAAAATATGAACAAGTATTTCTAATGTAACAAGAAAGACGAGTTAAATTAAGTAAAACCATATTGGCACAATACAAAATATGGCCAAAACAGTCTCTATTGGTGCTTGACATCATTTGAGGAGCAATAATTGTGTTATTGTGATTTTATAAAATTATAATTAATAATATTAAATTGTTGTAAAATCGACGGTGTGTGAAGTGGAATAAATAAACAAGACACAAAATTTACGAGGTTCCTCTACAGTCAGTGTGACTGGAGTACATTCTCGGGGCAGCAGTGGTGCTTTCATTATAATTTAATTTAGAATAATGGGAGTACAAAAATAACTCTCTCTATTATTTCCTCTCCTCTTCCTCTTTTCTATCTATTCCTCTTCCGTGAACTTATCTTTTTGATGTTGTGTGGAGTTTGTATTTATATAGAAAATAGGAGTCGTATGAGGCAAGCTTCGGCAAACAGTGGAAACAGCCCTTATTCCCACTTGTAGCTTAGTGGATTAGTGGTCAGTGTGGACATCCACCATATTTACAACACTCCCCCTTGGATGGCCATAAGCTATGACGCTGCTACTGGCTACCATTCCAATCATTTTCACTTGCCTTATCTGTCCCCAGGTAGAAGTGGTATGTTCTCTAGTTTTCCCAGGCAGATGTGGCATCTTCTTTTGGAAAGCCTTAAAATCTTAATCTGTCTTGGGTGTTCCCCCTGATTTTGAATTCTTTAGGTTGATGATTCGCCCAAAGATGATATACCTTTTTCACTTGTTTTACTTGTTGTTGACTTTCCACAGCTTGATCTTGAACTGGGTTGGAATGTTTCTTGAAGGGCCGGCAAGGCATGGCCTTTCAATCACTCAGTCAACCACCAATTTATTCCCTTTGGATTCCATAGGCTCATCGTTGATCTTTCTGCTTCAGTCTCTTGCATAGTAGAAATGGTGCACAACCTTTGCATTTGGATGGTCCATCACTTCTTAGTGACAAATACTGCAAGAGAAAATGGCTACTTGAGAGCAATGCTAGGCAAGCAATCAGAAAAGGCTCCAGGCAGTCGATTCCTGACTGGAAATTTGATTTCAGGTTCTGATCGATTGCTTTCTTTCTCCTTGTCTTGCAGGTAAGAGCAAGAACAAAGGAAATGACATAGAGATTGCATGATATGAGATAGTCTTGCTTTCGTCCCTGATGGTATGAGATATTTTTGCTCTTGAAAGAAAGAGTATAAGATTTTGATGTTGGTGTAAACCTTTTTGATCGAAAGGGGTTTCTTGCTGAGGAAATAAGTTTGGCATTTTTAGGGACTTGGTTGAAGAGGTATTCTCAGATAGGAAGAAAACTAAGTATGTTGAGAAGTTTGGTTGCATATGCATTTTCGGCAATGAGATAGAGTTAGGCATTTTGGATGTGTGTCTTGCCATAGAGGATGAAAGTCGATATATATAGGAATTTTCCAAAGCTGGTAGTGGTGTGGATGTGGCTTTGTCATCTACGCTTGTCGGCAACAGTGTTGTAGTTAGAATAGTGAAATTCACGCATTTTCAACTCTGTCAGAGATCTTTTGACAAAGTTGCACGTGATATCCTAAAAGATGAGATTGCGTCTGAAAAGTGTTGACCAACTTTATGCAGGGAAATCCAACTTTTGAAATTCGGATAGCAGCGTTTCTTTGATTTTTGAACAGGTGGCCACGTTGCCTATTCTTTTATGGAGGTATCGATTGTATTCAAATTGCACTTTGAAGATTTCCCACTAGTGAAAATTGTCTTTGCTATATTTATGAGATTTTAATTTATCTGACCTTCTTCTTCTTCATCATTTTCTAAAAATGGCTTGCCCATCTAACCTTTGTTTAGATTTGAGTCTTGGGAAGGATACTGACGAGTCACATCAGGATAATATATGGCGCCCGTCATTCTCATTTTCTAATGACCCTCTTAAAGTTGGAGACTCTGTGATGAGAAATAATATAACCGCTACAGTGGTAGCTAGGAATCTTCTCACTCCAAAGGACAACATAATCCTTTCAAAACGGTATGATGAGTCGGTCGTTCAAGACTCATTGGCTCTCAATGTTCAGTGTGTTGGCTCTGTTTCTAATATGAGCCAACGCCTACTTGCTCAAACTCATCAAGTTGAATCATTGATAGCTGAGGTGGCAAGTCTTAAACAAGATATCAGAGGGCTCAATCACGAGAATATAGTGTTACACATGCTTACAAATAATTACTCAACGAGCATGAAAAAAAAGCTTAACCAGCTGCTGGAATCCGAAAGTCGGACTCAAAGTGACAATCAGAGGTTCAAGTCTTTATTCCAATGACACATATTGCCTTCATCATCCAGAGTTTTACCAAGTATAGAGGCTCCAAATAATCAACTTTCGATGCTTTCCCTTTCTGGGGTACTTCTGAGTACTGAGGCGTCATATAAGCAACCTTTGTAAAGGCTTCATCCTATTTGTTTTAACTCATGTATATGCTTTATTGTATTTAGCATAATACATTGAATGGAATAAAGCTTATCTATTGATATCTCCGAGAAATTACAGGAACACAACCTTGATAAGTCACACACTGGACCAGGTATATCCATTGGTTTAGCTTGGTCAAGAAAATTGGTCTCAACACCCTTCTCCTTAATGAAGGCTTGATATAGATCAACCAAATGTCTCATACTTTATTGTGGAAAGGGGGAATGAAGTGTACCGGTCTGACTGAATCGTTTATGTTTGATGTATTGAACTTGTAGTTTAAAACTTGCATTTCAAATTCAATAAAAGTGGCATTTAAATTTCCTGTTATAAATTGCTTTTAACCATGATCCCCTTACTCAAAAAGTATGGATAAACACTATGGTCATTCTCAAAACAAGAGCAATGGCGGAGATATTTGTCTTGCAGACAGCGCAACCACACGTACAATACTTCGAGATCGAAATTATTTCTCAAGATTGATGCTTACAAAAGTAAGGGTAACAACAATCTCAGGCCAATTAGATGTAATTGAAGGCTCAAGGAAAGCCCAGATTATATTACCAAATAGAACAATATTGTCCATACAGAACGCATTGTACGCTACTTGATCTACTCGAAATTTGTTAAGTTTCAAAGACATACGTTTAAATGGATACCACATTGAAACGAAAAGTACAGAAAATGTGGAGTATCTATGCATTACCTTCAATGATACCTACAAGCGTATATTGGAAAAGTTGTGTGGTTTGACGAGTGGATTATATTATACATACATAAAGACAGTTGAATCACATATTGTCATGAACCAGAAAGTTCATTGATTCAAAAGTTTACATGCTTTGGCATGATCGTCTGGGTCACCCAGGATCTACCATGATGCATAGAATCATTGCCAACTCTAATAGACATCAATTACTGAGCAGACACATTGTTATCTCAAATGATAACCTTTGCAAGGCTTGTTCTCAAGGGAAGTTGGTAATTAGACCATCACAATTAAAGGTTGATGTTGAATCCCCATCACTTCTGCAAAGAATTCAAGGGGATATTTGTGGGCCTATTCAACCATCATGTGGACCATTCCGATATTTTATTGTTTTGGTTAATACATCTACCCGATGGTCACATGTTTGTCTTTTATCTACTCGGAATGTAGCTTTTGCAAGACTTCTTACTCAGATAATTAAGTTGCGAGCATAGTTCCCAGATTACCCCATTAAGTCAATCCGACTTGATAACGCTGGTGAATTTACGTCTCAAATGTTTGATGATTACTGCATGACATTGGGCATTGATGTTGAACACCCTATTCCTCATGTCCATACTCAAAATGGTTTAGCAGAGGCATTTATCAAGCGGCTTCAATTAATAGCTCGCACTCTGCTCATGAAAACAAAGTTGCCAATTTCTGCATAAGGACATGCCATCTTACATGTTGCATCATTGGTTCAATTGAGACCTATAGCCAACCACCAACACTCCTCAGTACAACTCGTGTTTGGGTATTAACCAAACATTTCACATTTAAGAGTTTTTGGTCGTGCTGATAACGTGTTGTAAAATCGACGGTGTGTGCAGTGGAATAAATAAACAAGACACAAAATTTACGAGGTTCCTCTACAGTCAGTGTGACTGAAGTACATCCTTGGAACAGCAGTGATGCTTTCATTATAATTTAATTTAGAATAATGGGAGTACAAAAATAACTCTCTATATTATTTCCTCTCATCTTCCTCTTTTCTCTCTCTTCCTTTTCAGTGAACTTATCTCTTTAATGTTGTGTGTAGTTTGTATTTATATAGAAAATAGGAGTCGTATGAGGCAAGCTTCATCAAACAGTGAAAACAACCCTTATTCCCACTTGTAGCTTAGTGGATTAGTGAAAACAACCCTTATTCCCACTTGTAGCTGAGTGGATTAGTGGTTAGCATCCACCATATTTACAACATAAGCAAGTTTTATTTCTTTATAAATTAATGATAATTTGTAAGGCAAAGCCAAATTTTGATGCGGTGTTTGTGAGAGGTGTCAATTTATGAATTGCAATGTCCTAAAGAAAACGACTTCAACCCACCAACCTCAATCCAAATTTCAACAATTTGGTCCACCACCAATCACTCTGTAATTGAATACTGTTCGAAATTTGGAAACTTTTTAAATTAGCATACTAGCATCTTGCCAAACATTCACGCATGCAGCAAATTATTTTTTCACGTGTTATTTTTTACGGGTTATTATTATTTTATTTTTGTTTTAAATATTGTTTTATATTTTTATTTCAAAAAGTAAAATGAAAAACTGCATATTACATGGGTAGTTTTATTCTGTTAGTTGGGATTTTTTTTTTAAATTAAATTGTTTTATTTTAAAATTCTAGTTAGAAAGGGGTATTTTTTTGAAATTATGAATGATCAACCATTTTTTCCTTCTGGCTTTATAGATATATACTAGTCTTTTGTCACACACGTGTGGTAATTGATTTTTTTTTATTATTATTATACATTTTTTTTAATTTTACTTATTTTAAATATTATTGTTGTTTTTAAAGTATAGTTTGAAAAATAATGAGTGTTTTTTTTTCCTGCGCGCAGACTATGAAGATTTTGATCTTGTCCATCCAACAAGATCTGATGGCTAAAGGATTGCCACATTTTTAATTTGTCTCAATCTTGTTGGATAGACAAGAACCCTTGCACAATGTTGCAGGGGATAAAAATAAAGGGAACTTTAACGAAAAATCATATTTTTACACTAAAAAATCAATTATGTTACTATTCACTTTACCATTTATTTTGTCTTTATCGTAAAACTCAAAGTTTTCAAACTATTTTCATTAATTTTCTTTAAAATGAAACATGCAGATGATCCTAGTCCTATATTAGGACGCGTGAGGTGTATTTCTTCACACCTTAATTTCTATGGACCTAAAAGAAATACTTTTAATAAGCATATGAAAGGTAGGGACTTTAGGCAAAGGTGAAAAATGACACTAACGTGACACACCATCTCCATTTAGCTGGCATGCATCAATGCTTTTCAATGCCTTGGATTTAAGCTGTTTTTAATTAACCCTCTATTATTTGTTGACTTTGGAGCACATCTTGCTCTCTAATCTCTATCGACAACACTCAAATTTATGCATATCACGTGATAGCAGAAAAAATTGGATATAGTTCCGATTACACGGTAGAATCTCGTTAGTTTTCATCAAAGATTTTAAATAGAAAAAGTACAACATAAAAATTTGTTTTGAAAATCGCAACATTGCACTGTTAAATCATGGAAAAAAGGATATATATTTAAAGTTTCAGAGAGACGGGTCACCGTTCACTACTAAAGCATATATTGTCTTCACTTAACCACCGTGCAATCCATAAGCACAGTTTTTATGCAAAAGACTTCGATTGTACGTGGGGCCTTTTGGCTTTATTCGAAACGCAGCTCATCAGCTTTCCTGCCGGATTCTGGAAGTCCTGTAATTCTTGTACCGACTTTGGCCAAAAATGTCAAAAGAGAAGAAAACATGTCCTCCAGTTAGGTCCGAAAAGATATTGAATATAATATAAACATTTCAAACAGACCGCCTTCATTCGTTTCACGCATCCACTTTAGACAGACTCCACTGTGACTCTGCTCCTCCAACAGTCCAACTCCTCCTCACTGTCTCATGAGCTCCAGCCACCTTCCATGGACGCCATGAACCTCCACTTTCTCTCTCTAACCCTGCTCTTTCTCCTCCACTTCGCAGCCTCCTTCACTCCCTCCGATAACTACCTCATCAACTGCGGCTCACCCTCCAACGCCTCCGTCTTCAACCGGGTCTTCTCGGCGGACCCTTACAAACCCGGAGCGGCGGGATCCATTACGCTCGCCGACCAGAACCCACCTCCCAGTTCGCCTGCCCTCTACCGCACGGCCAGAGTTTTCACCAGGGCTTCGAGCTACACCTTCAGCATCAAGAAATCCGGGACCCACTTGGTACGTTTTCACTTCTCGCCGTTTGTAGCTCAGGGTTTTGACTTGAAAGCTGCAAACTTTGGCGTTTCCGTTGATGGGTTTGTTCTGTTGAGAGAATTACATGTTAGGGACTCTGTGATTAGAGAGTTTGTGATGAGAATTGATGCAAATGTGGTTGAAATTGTGTTTGCGCCTGTGGGCAATTCTGGGTTTTGCTATGTAAATGCAATTGAAGTTTTTACAGCTCCTGAGGATCTTGTTCTTGATTACGGTGCTAAATTGGTGGGTGCGAATGTTGTCGAATACAAGAATCTTTCTTCACAAGTTTTAGAGACCCTTTATAGGATTAATGTTGGAGGTTCGAAATTGACACCTTTTAATGATACTTTGTGGAGGGATTGGGTCCCTGATGTCGATTATCTTGTTCTGAAATCGGCTGCGAAGCGCGCTTCCACCACGCATACTCCGAATTATCAGAGGGGCGGTGCAACTCGAGAGATTGCCCCGGATAATGTATATATGACTGCCCAGGAGATGAATACGGATAAGGCAATTACAGGTGCAAGGTTTAATCTCACATGGAAATTTCCCGTGAATACGAATTCCGGGCATTTGGTTAGGTTGCACTTCTGTGACATTGTTAGTCCTGCACTTAATTTGTTGTACTTTAATGTGTATATCAACGGGTATGCTGCGTATAGAGATGTTGATCTATCCGTGCTGGCAACCAACGTGCTTGCATCTCCTCTCTATATTGATTTTGTTGTGGATTCAGATAGTTCGGGGATGATAGAAATCAGTGTTGGTCCTTCTGATCTGAGTGGTTCCATGAGGATTAATGCTATATTGAATGGGGCAGAGATCATGAGAATGGTGAATGCTTCCAATTTACGGGCTGGAACTGGGCGTAAGAAGAGAAGTATATGGATTTTGGTGGCCACAGTTGTTGGAGGCTTTGTTGTTCTCTGTTTTGCAATTGGTGTATTTCTGCTTGCTTTGAAACGCAGGAAGAAGAAACTGAAACCCCGACCTGCAGAAAGTGCGATTTGGACACCTTTACGCGTATATGGAGGTAGTTCAAACAGTAGAACGTCTGAAAGGACTACACTTGTGTCTCCCGGCACAAATGGATATCATTTCCTGAAAATATCTTTTGCTGAATTACAGTTGGCGACAAACAATTTCGATAAAAGTCTAATTGTAGGCTCTGGTGGTTTTGGCATGGTTTACAAAGGGGTGCTGAAGGACAACACAAAGGTTGCCGTGAAGAGAGGTGTGCCTGGATCTCGGCAGGGCCTTCCAGAATTCCAGACTGAAATAACGGTTTTGTCCCAAATTCGCCACCACCACCTTGTATCACTTGTTGGGTATTGTGAAGAACAGTCTGAAATGATCCTAGTTTATGAATACGTGGAAAAGGGGCCGTTGAAGAAACATTTGTATGGTTCTGGGTTTCCACCTTTATCCTGGAAGCAACGGCTTGAAATATGCATTGGATCAGCGAGAGGTCTTCACTACCTTCATACAGGTTTTGCTCAAGGAATCATCCACCGTGACATTAAATCAACTAACATTTTGCTTGACGAGAATTATGTACCTAAGGTGGCTGATTTTGGTCTTTCAAGATCAGGTCCGTGTCTCAGTGAAACCCATGTAAGTACCGCTGTTAAAGGTAGTTTCGGGTATCTTGATCCTGAGTATTTCCGGAGGCAGCAGCTTACTGATAAGTCAGATGTGTATTCATTTGGGGTTGTGCTCTTTGAGGTTCTTTGCGCTAGACCTGCTGTGGATCCCTCAGTTGATAGGGAGCAAGTGAATCTAGGTGAATGGGCATTGGAATGGCAGAAGAAGGGCATGCTCGAGAAAATTATCGATCGCCATCTTGTTGGGAAGATCAAACCAAGCTCTTTGAAAAAGTTCGGAGAAACGGCAGAGAAATGTTTGGCTGAATATGGTGCGGATAGGCCAACCATGGGTGATGTATTATGGAATTTAGAATACGCGCTTCAGCTTCAGGAATCTGGACCGTGTGGAGGACAGCCTCAAGACTGCGATATCAATGTGCCTCCAACGAATAGCATCGTTCCTGGAGATCCTTCTGCCAATGTAAGAACAGAGGGAAATGATGGTAATGGTAGTTCGGAGATTAACACAAGCCTAGTTTTTTCTCAATTGATGACCAACGATGGCAGATAACTTCCGTGCTTGTGCACCAATATATTGATCATAGTACCATACAAGAATTTTACAAGATCACCTTACAACTACCACTGTGACAAGTCATACAGGTATACGTCTTTCTAAGGTTCTGCCTGCTTCCGCTGTTTATTATTTTCTCATTTCTCTTACCACGATTATTATACGCAACTTTGTAATGAATTTCTGAGCTGTATCTTCCTCGCGTCGAGATGTTGTAGTGTTTATCTTTTTCTATCGTACTGCTGTATAATGTATGCAAGTGAAGGAACTACAGAAGCTGCTGATGTTTGCTGACTGAAATAAACAACAACAAAACCTTATCTCACTAAGTGAGTCGTCGGAGTTTGCTGTCTGAAACGTAAGAAATAATGTATTTGTTTCTAGCTGGCTAGCTAGCTGTTCTGCACTACAATGTCTTCTGTGATGCATTAGGTTTGCTTGAGCAAATACCAAGTACCAATGTATGGTGTGAGAGAGATAGTGGAGGTTGTCTTTCCACTCAAAATTGTGGTACCTTGCTCGTTGTCTTAGTCACCATCATTTCTAATGTAATAAAATTGTCATTTCTCTCTCATGTGAAAAATACTTTTGCATTCTTATCGTCAGGAAATCATGTCATTCAACTAATTATCGAATTTAAATATGGTTTTGGCATCATTCATATTGTGTTTGTAATCTCATGTGACAATAAACGTCAAACAAATCACTCGATTAAGTATTGAACTTGATTATCATTTTGCAATATTCACGTCAATTGGACATGATATCTTCCTCAACAAAGCAGATACAAACAAAGCACTAAACTAAGTATCGAAATTAATTATCATTTTGCAACTTTCACGTGAATTAGATATGAATCTCCCTCAACAAAACACAAGGATATGGTCCATAAGAAAATTGATGACCTATCATCATCCAAGTTGAAAACTTTGATAAAACGACATTGGATGCCCAATCTTGCTGCCAAGGTGAAAATCTGGTTCACAGGAAGGACAAGGGCATAACGGTAATTATAATAAACAGTGGATATCTTTACACATAGGACCACCACGACTCCAACCAATTCACCCAAAAGATTCACAACTCAAAGATTCTTGCCAACTCCGTAATTTTCTCAAACTTCCTGGGTCCGTTTCGTTTCCGAAATATGACCCTCCGTTTAAGTACAAAACCGAATAGAGTAGGAATCCGGTGAGAAAAATTCGTGAATGGTGTCAATTCATCGTACATCGTACAGTCATAAATCATTTTAAATATTTTTATTTAAAATTAAACACAAACAGTACCTGATAAAAATTAATTGCACGATAGATGATACTATGAGAAATAGGGTATCAAGTTTCTTTATTTAAAAAGATTTAAAATTTTAAACTAACCCGTCCGGTAAAAAATTCATAACTCCGCTATTGTTAAGACCAACAAGATCTTCAAGGATGGGCCTCTGCGGTATCTTCCATAACGCCGTACATGTCCCCCTTTCTCTATCAATCTATCGCTTGCGTGCAGGCATGCATTCGTGTAATGCATGCACGCGCGAAATGATTATCAAGTGTTCTTAGTTAATTAACTTTGTTATGTATAATCGTACGTGTGATGTTTTTGTAGGGTTGTTGTTTGCGGGTGAAGCAAGCCAAGACAGAAATTGTATCAGCTGGGAAAGGGGCATATCGTTACCTCGTGGGGGCGACATGCATCATTTTGTGAAAGATTATAACCCAATTCCAAATCCCTTTTCAAAGGTTATATGTATAATGGCATTGCTCCAATTTCAACCTGCCAAGAAATATTGAATTTCTTCATCTATCAAACATCCGTAATGATAATACATTTAATTATATTTTGAAATTTTACAACATTTTCCACTTTTCTTCCTATTTCTTCGACTTCAATTAGAGCAGGGCTTTGTAGAAAGTCAATTTTATATTCCATCATTCAAATAATTTCTTGAATGCCGAAAGCAACAAATGAACGGGAAACCGAATCTCAATTTTATTTGTAGTTTGTCAAAATAATGTTTTTTTTCATCAACGTGTTTGTGGTTTTAGGGTTTTTTCATATTTGAGTTACAAATTATTATTAATTTTTGGTCTATTTTTAACTGCGTCTCCTTGAAATCTTTTTTAGTCTCACTTTGCCTCTTGTAACTTAAAAGTCACCACTTTACTCTTGGAAACTCAAAATTTGTTCCACTTTGACTTGTGGACTCTCTCCTTCCTGAAACTTATAGGTCGTTTCCTAAAACATATATGTGCAATAAATTTGATTATAAATTTCTATTCAACTTTCGACAATCAGAGAATATTAATTTTAAAAGAAATTGAAGAAATGAAAAAAAAAAAAAAAAAGATTGATTAGCTTGGGCCTGTCTTACCAAAATCAATTCCACATAAGAAACTAATAGATTTAAGGCAACGTGGGGGCAAATTTTGAGTTTTGTAGAGATGGCTCTCAAGTTTCATAGGGCAAACTGGGATCAAAATTGAGTTTCAGAGGGCAAAGTGAACGAATTTTGAGTTTTAAGGAGTAAAGTAGTGACTTTGAGTTACAAGGAGCAAAATGAGATTAAAATCAAGTTCTAAGGAGTCTTAATTTTTTATCTGGGCTATATTAACAAGGTGTAGAATGCTAATAAAAAAACCTATATTTTTAGTACAATGGTATTGATGTTAATAATGAATTTACTTACTACTAAATATGAATAAAATGAATTAATGTATATTTGGGTATGAGTAAATTGTAGCAATAGTCCCTTAACTCTAACTCAATTGGAGTAATGGTCCCTTAACTAAAAATTCATTACCATCGGTCCATCAACTCATTAAAACGTGCAGCCATGGTTTCTCAACTAAAAATCTATTACCATTGGTCCATCAACTCATCAAAACGTACTATTATTGTCCTTCAACTAAAATTCATTACCATTGGTCCCTCAATTCATCAAAATGTGTAGCTATGGTCCCTTAACTAAAAATCAATTACAATTGGTCTCTCAACTTTAATTCAACTGAAGAAATGATCTCTCAACTTTAACCTAATTGGAGCAATGGTCCCTCAACTTTAACTCAATTGTAGCAATGACCCTTCCAACATAACTCATTTTGACAAAATTCTGACGAAATTGACGAAAATAAACAATCTACACGTTTTGATGAGTTGAGGGATCTCAATTGTAGCAATGGTCATTCCAACATAACTTATTTTGACAAAATTCTAATGAAGTCGACGAAAATGACCATAGCTACACATTTTGATGAGTTGATGGACCAATGGTAATGAATTTTTAGTTGAAGGATCATTGCTCTAATTTAATTAAAGTTGAGAGACCATTACTACAATTTACTCTTTGGGTATCGTCGACTTGATATACAAAAAGAGTGATGCGACACCTATGGCCTACAAAACTAGCATTTCACTTTGAAGACGACTTGTTACAATTATTCAACAAAGTTTGTTTGAGAGTTTATTCCAAATTTAGGAGCCTAGCAAAGTAATAATACTATGATCAATCAGCTAAGAGCATCTTTAAAGCTAATGTCAAATTTTAAATATAAAATTCAAATTTGAAAGTTTATGTGGCACTTTAATTTTTTTTCTTTTGGTTCTCCATCCGATATGTCAAATTTAAACTATTATCTATTATACTAGCACATGGACTTTGTGAGAAAATTTTTTATTTTTGTTTTTGAAATAGAAGGAGAGAGGAAGAGAGTGATAGAGAATATGAAAGTGAGAAATTTTATTTATTTATTTATAATTAGAGATATGTTAGGATTGCATGTAGGTGAGGTTTAAAAAAATAAAAACAGCAAAATTTGGTTGTGTAAAATTACATTTCTGCCTCATATTTCTTATTCATGTTCTGTTTTAATTAGAGGGTTAAACTGGTAATTTCATAGGATTTTGGTTAACAATGAGTATTTTATTAATTAGTAGAGATTATTTACTTTTCACAATTGTTATAAATATTTTTAGAACAAAAAAGAAATTATAAAATCCATTTATTGATCACTAAAAATAGATTTGAAATTGTTATCACAGTCCCACATAGGAATTTGCATTTTTATTTTTATACTGTTATAGCTGGTGTGAACTTTTTTATTCCTTCTTTTGAAGATACTCTAATGGGAGAGTGAAATTTAAAATGTCACTCTAGCACTATTTTACAAAATAAAAATATTATCAAGTACTCTTTAATTTTTTGACGCAATAATACATAATTATATCGCAATATCATCATTGTAATACTGAAAACTCGAATCATAACAAGTGTTAATATTTATCTTCATTTTTAAGTGAGAAATTTTAAATTCCATTATCGCTAAAAGTGAATTTAAATTACATTACTACTAATATGTTATGAGGCATAGACAACTCTTTCATCCTTATAATGTGGATAATATCTTTGTTCGTAAAAAAAAAAACAACAAAAAACAAAATGAGGAATAGTATGAAACCGACGTCGGATGCCCAATTGTGTCGCAAAGCCGAAAAGATCTCAGATCACCGACGTCGACGGGTGCAGACTTTTCTGGCTGCACGGGGAACAAGACAAGGGCAGGTCGGTCATTTGACAAAAAGCAGACGGTGCCTTTTGCCGTTAATAATTGCGTGGCGTGGGCACGTGGGCCCCACTTATCCAAGTCGCGCTAATGATAACCCGAGGTGCGCACCGCAGTGGCAGACAGACTGGACGGTTGCCCCAACGGCTGTCAGTTCCGTAATTTCTCGCAACTTCCGGGGTCTGTTTCGTTTCCGAGTTACCCCTCCGCCCGCGAAAATTACCTTACGATCCCGGTTTCTGAGATTTTTTGGTAAACACACCCACCCGCAGAGACGCAGACTTTCTCTCACTAGACACTTTCTCTCTCTAAAGTTGAAGAATTTGGACCAGTTTAGAGCGAGAAAGGAAAAGAAAAGGAAAGGAAAGAGAAAAGCAATTGAGCAAATCGAGACGAGAGAATATTCAAATCGTGAGGCAGCGAAAAGTGGTGTGCTTTTGTTCGAATTGAATTGAATTGCTTCGTTTCAGAGAGGATTAGGGTTTGTCATTTGAATTGGGAGGAAGGAGGGAGGGGGAGTTTTGGGTTAGGGATTTAGGGTTTTTGGTGAAGAATTTGGAGAAGATGGCGGAGGTGGTGCTGCATATATACGATGTGACGAATAGTGGATCGGACAAGACGAATAGCACCATTCTGCAGATCAACAAGATCTTCAAAGACGGTATCGGCCTCGGCGGCATCTTCCACAGCGCCGTTCAGGTTCGTTCTCTCTCGTCTTTCTCGTGTGCTCGCGCTTGCTCGTGTATGAATGTATGTAATCTGGAGTTAGATATGTAAATTTTGTATTGCTAGTGTAATTTTGGAGTGCTGTGAATTTGGAAGAGAGATCTTGGTTTTCTTAGGCAATTGGAAATTTTCACTTTGATTCTGTGTGTGTATATGTTAATTGATTATAGAAATGACATGTTGATTATTTTTTGCTAATTAGTTACTACATTTCTTGATAAGTTGTTTATCTTGATGGAGATTTTGATCTGAATAGTGAAAATTTTCGCAAAATTTAGTTATATTTCTA